GTTGTTGTTGTTGTTGAGCAGATCGCAGGGCAGCAGAAAACCTAGTCAATAAATATATATGAATATAAGTGTATGTAAGTGAATAACAGTTAGCTAACCATTGCGTTTGGCTGCAGCAGCCGCCGTCGTCGTGGCCGTCGCTGAGCTGGCGCCAAAGCCAAGCAGCGCCTGGCCATGCCCACCTCCACCGCCTCCACCACTGTCCGCTAAACTGGCGCTGACCGTGTCGACCAATCCCTGAACGCTCAGCTGTACATTGTCCTTGGCCAGCAGATCGTCTCCGGCGACAACGGCGGCGGCCACGCTCGCAAAGTCGTTGTCGCTGATGACGTTGTTGTTGTTCTCCTCCTAGGAAAGAGATAGGCAGAGAGGAGGAAAAGGGAGAGACAGAGAAACAACAAATAGAGAGAGTACACGTTGTTGTTGTTTGTTGGTGTAGTTTGTTGTTGTAGTTATTGTTGTGGGGGAAATAGAAAAGCAAGAAAAAAAAATAGAAGAAAAAAAAAACACACATTTGTGGTAGGGAAGAAAAGAGCAAAAGAGAATACAAATTATAGGGAAGAAAAGAGCAAAAGAGAATATAAATTATAAACGGTAAATGTGAGACGAGCTCTGTTCAAAGCTTAAAAGCAAAAAAAGTCCTGCGCAAGGAAATTTGTGTGTGTGTGTGTGGGAGAGAATGTGTGTGTGAGCGAGCGAAAGTGTGATGCACATGCATGTGTGTGTATATGTGTGTGTGCTTTAGTTCAACTTGTCTGCGGATGTACATTTTCGACTTTGACCTCAACGGTCGCCAAATCGGACAGCAGGCTCTCGATCTCGAAGTTGCTCTCGGAGAGCGTGCGGAACAGCTCATCGGAGGAGTCGCTGCCACATAACGGCTCCACCACCACGTTCACATTTCGAGCCGCTGTGCCGCAAAGCTCCGACGACTGCTGCTGCTGCTGTTGTTGCAACTGTTGCTGCAGCTGTTGTTGCTGCTGTAGTTGTTGTTGCTGCTGCTGTTGATGCTGCTGCTGTTGCTGCTGATGCAATTGTAGCTGTAACTGTTGCTGTTGTAAGGAGTTGCTGCTGTTGTTGTTGCTCGAGCCAATAGTTGCATTTATATTCTCCGCATTGACCGAGGAATCATCCTGTAGGAATAAAGGTTTAATTAAAATAAAAGCTCAATTTTATCAGGAGATGTGGGCATACGCACTGTCATGCAGTTAGCCAAGTCTAGGCCGCCAACTAAACGACCATCGTTATCCGGACACCAGAGCAGCGCGTCATCGATAAAGGGCATCGCTGATAGGGCAAAGCCTGCACTGCAAATACTGTTAACTGCCAGCGTGTAGCCGTTTCCTCTGCACCCTTTCACTTGAGAAAATTTCCTTATAAATATCCCCAGAATTTGCCTTGACAAAATGTCCGTCGACAATTCCCTTTCTCGCCTTTCGTCTCTCTCTTAATTATTTAAGCTTAAGTGAGCTTTTAAATTTATTGTAAACTTTTGACTTATCACACTTTTGTTTTTTATTTAATTTTAAATTTCAGTTTTCACAAATTTAGTTTTAGGCACTTTTTTAGACGGTTTTGGTTTGGTTTCCGTTTAATTTTTAATTTTTTTTTTTATTATTTTTTATCTTCGAGTCTTTTGTTTTGGACGTTTTTTGTCGCTGAACCAAAAAAATAAAAAATAAAGTTAAGTCCACTTTAAAATTCGTTTATGTACTAAGTGTGTATATTGTTAATTACTTTATATAATATATATAATATTTGTATATATATTATTTTTATTTTGGCCTTAAGTTTTTCAAGAGTTTTTTTTTGATTTGCACGCCTAAAGTCTGGAAAGAAATGAAAATGGTTGAAAATTAGTTTTTATAAGATAAATAGGGAATGTTTCTTAAAGTAATTTGTATGTATTTAACTAGATTAAGGTATAACAATTGCTAAGGGACAATATCTTAAGTATCTTTACAGATATTGGCTTAGCAATTGTAAAAGGGAAATTTCCAGTTACTTCCTTAGCTATCAATTGTTTGGGGATATTTGCTTAAGGGACATGTACAAATACTTGCAATCGGAGGTAATTTATTTAAGGGACATTTACAGAGCAGTAACAGATTAAGGAAAATTTATTTAGCTCAGAGATATTTACATCAGCTTTACTTATGCATTCATGCATGTATTCCAACAATTTGAATAGAAAAACATAATTTGAGAGGTCTCAAAATATTTATTGTAAATAAATTCATTTATTTATAATAAATAAAAGCTATGCAGCTCGAATTGTAATTGATCTGTCGTCGTTTGACCAGATTTGTGGCGAATGCCTCTGGCTTAGGTGGAAAAATCAAACCTGGGGATGAGCTGGTGAAATGTTGATGGAAAGTCGTCTCGATGCATTGCATTGTTTTGATAATATTTGGCTTAACTTCCGGTTAAAGGAAAAACAAAACATAATAAAAAGAAAAAAAAGCACATAAGCAACTATCAAAGTTAATTTCGTTTAAAGTTCAATAACATTTCAAATTGCGAATTACGATTAAGCAACAACAGCAACAATTGCAACTGCAACAGCAGCAACAAAAGGGACTGCAAAATTATAGTTAAAGGTTTTGCCATGTGCAGCAGCTGCAACAGCAAAGGAAAAACAAAAAGTTGCAACAAAAAAAATAATAATAATAAGAAAAAAAAATACAGCAAACCAAAACAGCAAAAGCAACTTTGCAAAAAATGCTTTTTACATAACATGTTGTTGAACCGCATGCAAAGCAAACAGCAACAGCAACAACAACAACATTAGCAATAGCAACAACATGTTTAGCTGCAACTGTTGCCGCTGCCGCCGTCGCCGTTGCTGCTGCTGTTGCTGTTGCATTTCGCTCTCTCTAAGCTGCCAAAACCAATGCAAGTGAAAGTCTAACAACAACTAAAGCAACAGCAACAGCAACAACAACAATTGCATGTTGCGCTCGTAGCGCAAAAAGTTCGTTAACATTGAACTACGAACAGCAAAGCGCAATAGCAACAACAGCAACAACAACAACAACAACAGTAGCAACAGCAACAACCATAGAGAGAGAGAGTACATTGAACAGCAACAACAGCAATAGCAACAACAACAACAATAATTGACATTACAACATTGCGCTGCCTGGCACTGATGCTGCTGCTGTTGTTGTTATTGTTGTTGTTGTTGTTGTTGTTGGCTGCGCCTGCGTTGGTTTTTCCATTGCATGCCAGTTTGCAATTGCAGTTGCTGTCTTTGTTGTTGTTGCTTGGTGATGCGCATGCGGCGCGGAAAACTCGTTTGCCATTATTCAATACAAACAGCAGCAGCAGCAACAACAACAACTGGCAGCAGCAGCAGCTGCTGGCGGCTATTCACTTTTCTGCTCACAAGTTCAGCAGAAGAAAACTTGAAAGAAAAGCCAAGGCAAAAGCAAGAACAACAACAACACCAACAACAACGACAGCAGCAATGGGCATTAGAAAATGTTGCTGGGAGGCAACTGTTGCTGGTTGCTGCTGCTGCTGCTGCGGCTGCTGTCGAGTGGCGCCAATCTTCTGCTGCGTAATGCACATTGATTAGAAGATGTCGACGTTTATGCAAAATATTACCTTTTCTTGTTGTTGTTGTTGTTGTCTTAATAACAGAGCAACGGTGCGTATACACAATATTTGATTAGACAGCCACAGCAGCAACAGCAACAGCAATGGCAATGGCAATGGCAACAATTGCTCGCATTTTGATTAGCTAAAGCTTATTAAATTCTTGCATTTGTATTTGTATTTGCATTTGCATTATGCTCGCAGCACTTCCTGGTGCACACAGTTTGAGATTATTCTTGGAATTGGGCGCGGTTCCATTTTCTCTTTCTCTGCTTCTTTACTTTTACGCTATTTTTTCAAAGCCAAGCGAATGCAAAAAAGCTCACGTGTGAAATACCAGATGGAGCTCTACATATAGAATTGCGCCTATGAGAGTTAGATAATTGCAATGTGTGTGTGTGTTGCTGATTGTTCATTAGAACTAGTTCAGTTCCATTGACGAATTTAAAATGAAGAATTTAACGATAATTTATATATTTAATATCATATTTAATTATACTGAGTCGAAAGACATTGTAAACAAAATTCAATTTATAAGAGTAGACCGATTGGCGTATACCCTATAGTCCTGTTTATTCATAAATATGTTGGCTGTTGCTGTTGCTGATATCGAATAGAAAGAGTATTGCCAAGTCGTCTATGAGCGTTTTTAAATTATTTAATTGTGTTCCATCTACCTATCTTATAGAAAGGTGAGTCTTTATATAAAGCGCTTTTCGCTTTGTCTACATTTACATAAGATAATTATCTATTATTTATTATTAGAAAATATGTATATTATATCTGCTTAGATAATAAATATATACTATATAACTAAAACTAAATTCCATAACTCACCTCTGTTAGATATATATGTGTAAAGATATATATTTATATGTAAAGATGCAGCTTATCCAGATCGTGTTGTAAATATTGTTTCACGTTTTGTTTTTGATTTTTTTTATGTTTTTGTTAACAATAAATTGTCATTAATATATATATATATATATGTGTATGTGTATATATATTATATAATATGTATAGATATATGAATATATACGTATATCTAAGTTGTTTTCTTTTTATCTAAACTAGAAGGCAGTGTAAAGTTGTCCAAAAATTTGATTGTTAATTTGCATTGAAGCGTTGTTTGTTGTTGTTTGTTGCACTTGTTGCAGCAGTTGTTGTTGTTGCTGCTGCTGTTGATGTTGCTCAAGAAGAAGAGAAGGTTGCCAACACTTTTGTGACAGCAGTAAGATATCTGTGTTTAACTGCTGTTGTTGTTGTTGTAGTTGTTGTTTTATTTTACAACGTATGCTATAGATGTACAAGTATAAAGTTTTATTGTCATTAGCAACATGGCTGACATTGACCAAATTTGCATTTGTTCCCAGTTTCTTGCTTTGGGCACGCATTTATGGTGTTTGCACGTGCACTGTGGCATTTAAGCGATGCCAAATGGGGGCCAAAGGGCGCCTCACCCCTCTCTCTCTGTTAAGCTCTTGCTCTAGCTGTGATCGCTGTGTGGCGGCCTCTGTAATAGAAAGAAGATTTATGATTTATTTTTATTTATTTTTTATAATAATTATGTTTAATATTGTAATTCTAAATTTAGCGCTTTTAGTTATGCGAGACAAATCTTAAAAGTCGTGACTTGCAATGGAGATGTAGCATTTGAAGAGAGGGATATGCAGGTATTTTAATACAAAATTTCCCTCTTGCTTAGATATGTGTGTATGTATATCGAAACATGGCTGAGCTAAACACTACCACATTTACAAAGTAACAAACGAAGTATGCAGTAAAGGGATATTTATCAACTTAACTCTGACTCACTTAGGGACGTTTACTCTAAGTACGTAAGGGATATTTATAATGAGCGTTTCATTATGCCCAATAAGGAATATTCACTTCAGGGATATTTATGAGCATTCACTCAACTGACAAATGCTCAGGGATTGATTACGTTTTATGCATAAGTACATATATGTATGTATTTATGCATTTCTACAATTTCCCATTCCCCATGCTCAGCTATCGATATGCCAGCATATGCTACACACACACACACACAGACATACACACACTAACACACTGATAACTATTTAGTTGTTATATTTATGTACATACTCGGCTAAAGCTTTCGGCTGCACTCGCTCCGCAACTCGAGAATGAGCTTTTATTTTTATTGTCTAGTCAGCACCAGCAACAGCAACAACAACAAAGACGAAAAGCTACGCAAATAGTTGAAACACAAAAGATGCGTTTAACTTGCGCTCTTTGGTGGCTTTGCGACAACAAGGTGCAAAGAGTTGAGCGGATCAGTCGCGCTGCGTGGGCGCTTGCGAAGGGGGAGGAACACAGACAGAGAGAGCGAGAGGGAGAGAGTGTATGTCTGGTGCTAGAGCGCCGGCGTCTTTGGCTTTGTCTACATTGTTGTTGCTCATTTACTGCGTAAATATGTTTTGCCTGCTCTTACTTTTTGCTATGACTGTTAGCTTTTTGCCATTGTAGTTGTACGCATATACTATGTGTATATCGGTATGTGTGTGTGTGTTCGTGATATTGTGCTTGCTTGCCTGCTTGTATTATAGTTTGTGTGTGCATCGTGACCTTCTCACACTGTCATGGCTACGTATAAAATTGTATAAAAATAAAAGCTTTCGTTTTATAATTTGTATGCAGCTCCATGCGCGTGAGTGTGTGCGTGCGTGAATGTACGTATGTATGTCTAATTGTATATATGTATATGTATGTGTATGTGTATGTGCGTGAAGAACATAGACGACTCGTGCCTTTGCGACAACAATAACAACAACACGTTAAGAATTGTTTTGCATTGAATAAAATATTATTTATGTTCCGCTCAAGATCGCATTTTTTGCTACATTAATGTTTGTTGTGGCTCCAGCTGCTGCTACTGGCTTAGCTAAGCTTTTGCAGCATTCTACTTCCGACTCTGTTTTGATAAAAGTTTGATTTGGATATATGCATGTACATACATATGTACATATTTGTTGAGCTTTTAGAATTTCGAATTCAAGTTTTAACTCAGGTGTGGAACGATATTTGTGTTGCAGATGTTTCAAGGACATTCAAGTAGTTTTCGTCTACAATTCTCTTATCTTACTATGCAAAATAGTTGGCTGGCAAAAAGACATAGAGTTAGATGCCCCTTGTTTACCAATTAGAATTGACTCTATACAGATACCCAACGACCTTCTAGCTAGTTGCATACAGGGTAAACAGTATCGAGTGCAGATACTCTATCAGTTTTATCTATTATCATTTTGAATATATAAATATTCTCGCCTACCCAAGTTGTGTTTATATCTACAGGGTATTTGCATGGTTCGTCAATGTTTTTGTTAGTACTGTAGACAAACTGTTTAAGATTCTTTTAGTCATGCTCGATTTATAGAGTTGCATACCAAATAGATCACAAAATTTATATTACTAGTCAATGATACCCTGTTAGAAATTAGTTATTGTCAGTTATAAAATCGGTCATTATTAAAATTAATAATTTTACAGGGCATTCTGTAGTTCATATTATACTTTATTTATTTATATATATACATATATTACTTTATTTATTTATATAAACGCCATCCTTTTATTTCAACTTCATTAATACAAAGCTTTTGATCGTTGTCAACTATTTAACACTTAAATCTTACAGCTAATCAAATTTATATATATTATTTATTATCTATATGTATATGTATATCTACATATTTATATATATTTTTACGTAATTTATTTTAGCAAATGGTCTAAAATTCGTAACCTTCCTCGAAATGATTTTTCTCTAGCTTTTCGTTATTCGCTTTTCGTCTAACCGCAACAACAACAACAACAACAAAATACGACTTGCATGGCAGGTTGAATTTGTTTTTGTTTTTGGTTTTACTTTTTGTTGCCTTTGTTGCTGTTGTAACCTTCTGTTCTGTTCGATTCAAGTTTAAGGTCGAGCCCAGACCCGCGCCAGCCCCCCTCCCTGCCTTAGTCTAGACAACAGACCCTTGAGTCGCTAATGCCCACTAATAATGCTTTAACAGGGTGTTTTTGTTGTTGCTGTTACAAGGGCACAGCCAATGCTTGTTGTTACACGCACCTAAGCACACACATACATACTTACACATTCAAGCTAAGCCTATAAAAGAGCAGTCTCTCTTAAATCATTTAACAGACAATTTCTTTGCTACGTTATGCCACTTAACGGCTAATTTGTAATCGAATTATTAATAAGAAATACCAAAAACAAAATAAAATATCAATAATTATTAGACTTGTGGCCCAGGGCATTGGATAATCTTGACTTGTCTTGGTCTAGGGTATCAAATATAACTACGAAAATTTTACAGATTTTTCAGAAAAAAAAAAAAAAAATGATGAAGGTTAAAAATCTAATAAACTAGAGCATGAAAATAAACACATGTTTTAAAATAAGCCCTGAACCATTTTAGATAATTATTGAAATAATAAATGAACAGAAACATAAAAAAAATAATAATAAATAAGAAAATCTTTAAAATGGTTTTGAATCAAATTTATTCAAAATTCTTAATTCCTTTGTGTTGAATTCAACAAGCATAATATATTCCTATGCAGTATAGTATTCCTTATATCGTCATTAAAAATAAGCTTTAATAAAAGCTTCATTCGGTTGTTATTGTGTTTTCTTATAAATCAGATTCCTCTTAGCTAAACTAAATATGTTATAATTAACCTTCGGCGAGGAATTTGTGTTGACTGAGATTAAGACTTAGACTAAGAATATGTTTATTTTGGTTTAATTTGAAAGATGACAGCTGAAAAGTTATAAAACTAACAAGAAGAAGAAGAAGATGGAAGATGCGAGCGAAGACGAAGACGAATATGAAAACAAAATAGTAACAAAGAGCTCAGCGCAACTTGCATTTTAATAAATTTAATTAATGAAATAACCATAAATTCAGATGTTAAATGGAAAATTTATCTCTTATTCTTCTTCTTTTAAGAATTGTGATACAATACAAAAACAGGCAGAATGACAGATGTGCTTGTATGTATGTACATACATATATATATGATTGCATACTTACGACATAGTGCACAGTGCATATGTATGTACGTACGTATGTATTTATGTATTCAGACAAATATGTATGTATATATTCAGAAATACATACATACATGTATCCAGTCATATCTATGTACAGAGATCCTATCATACTAAAGCTAAGCAACTTACATACATACATACAGATAGATGTGCATGCGTGCAAGCATCCATCAAATATACGCATATACAGACAGAGAAATAAAGATACATGCATACATACATACATACATACATATGCATAACTATAATAGAGAAACAAAAGAACATAGACAAAATCTTAAGTGTCGCACAAGCTGTTGTTGCTGCTGCTGTTATTGTTGTAGCTAAACTGTAAATTCAAAATAAAATACATAATGCTATAAAAACAGAATAGTCAAGCGCTACTAACCTTAGACACAAGCAGAAAGAAGAAAAAAGCAAAAGGCAAAAGCAAAAGCAAAAGGCATATGTATATATGTATCTAACTACAAAATATATGTTTCTATGTCTGTCAGCCACTACACAAATACATACACACTGTATATGTATACGTGTATGTGTATAAAATACGCAACCTTCAAAAAATCTAACAAAGCAAACTTGTTCAATAGTCATATGCGTATCAGGAAGTCAACATTTCAAGGATTGACTCATTGAAAAGTCGAATGCGACAACAACAACAACAAGAGAAACAAGTTAGTCGCGCTAACACACATGCGCATATAGACTTACACATACAAACACACATAGACACACAGACACCATTGCGTTAGACGAAAACTTTGAAAAGCGCGCCGGCAAAATGCAGTGCAAAAAATATTTACAGTAAAGCACACATACAACCAGACACACATGCTCTGAGATCACTTGAAATGGCTGCACTCGCAACTGCAGTCGCTCTCACTCTCTCTCGCTCTCACTCCCTCTCACTCTCTAGCTGTCAGTGTGTTGAGCTTTATTGAGCGTCGCTGTTTGCGTGTGTATGGGTAAGCGCATTCGCTTAAGGCGCATTCTCTTACGCTCACTCTCTTATGTTGGGCGCTGACTTCATTCAACGGGGCAACCGCTGCCGCCGCCGCTGCTGTGTTGCTGCATTGTTAAATAAAAAGTGCAAATACCGTAAGATTTTGCTTTTGCTGCTTTTGTTGCAAATTTTACTTTTCAATGTGAAATGATTTAAAAACTAAAAGTTATTGTGAATGAGGTAATTGGCAATGTCAATTTGCCTATCTCTTGAAAATAGAATGTATTTAACTGTATTTGGAGTATGAATGCTTTCAATACTAGTTTTAGTTTGACCATGCTTTAAAAAGTTCAATATGTGAACCTTCAACCTGTCGCTCTGCAAACACACACGACTGTATGAGTGTGCGTTGTCACTCAGGTTCACTGCTCACATTCAAGGCACTAACATAATAACCTAGCCCACGGCGAATTTAATTTCAATAACGCGATAAACTTCATCCAAATAAAACAACAGCAACAAGTACACCAATTGATATTCGTGCCGTCGATCGCATGGAAGGTCGTTGCATTAAAAAAGAGTTTAATGACCAAGGAAACTTTTGCCGAAATATGAAACAAAAGCCAACAACAATTGACGCTGCTGCGTAAGCTGCACCAGCGGCAATTCGCCGTGCGCCCACAACTTACGATGCGCATTCGCACTCCGCGCTCCTTTCATGGCAGCAACAACAACGCAGCAGCAGCAGCAGCGGCAGCAACAGTAACAGCAACGGCAGCAGCAGCAGCACTTGGGAAAGGTCAACGAACAACATTGCCTCCGTCGGTCAAAAGCAGAGTTCACACGTACACAGACAACGCACACATGCAAGCGCACACAAACATGCACATACACACACATACAAACACCATGGAGACGCATACAAATGCATTGTGAGGCGGCGGCGCAGCGAAGAGCAACAAAAATCCAACGGCAACGGCTGGCAAATTTTTGTTTTGCTTTTGCTTTCGCGTTGAGTGAAGTGAAATGAGTGTAAAGCGAAATGAAGTGAGGTGAAGTGATGCGATGTGGAGCGAATGAGTGAGTGTTACAGCCTTGTAAAGCAGATTGAAGTGCCAGCCCGCGTTTCGGCAATGACTCAAACTGCTGGCGGCCTGACTAATTAATTATTTATTAATTATTACTCATATTGAGCTATTTCCATGCCGCACGCAACGTGGAGTACAGGGCCAACCGTTGCTATGCTTACTCTTACGCCTACGCAAGCAGAGAGCAGCGAGCAGCGAGCAGTGAGCGCTGCGTAGAGTCAGCAATTCATTCACTTTTGTAAACTTAAATAAAAGCGTCTCTGCTCGCTGCTTGCTGCTAGCGCTGACGCTGCAGCTGCGTCATGAGATCAACGCACTTTCTGCGTCTCTGTGTGTGTGTGTGTGTTGATCCCACGAAACAATTTGCCGTTTAATGCACCCCAAAAAACCAAAACAAAAACAAAAAGCAGAGCGAAAAATAAAACAAAAAGCGATACAAACAAAACAAAAATCTGCAGCGGCAACTCAATGCGAATGACTCAATTTTTGAGTGCAATTTATGCATTTCATATTCAGCGATTTGCATGCACAGTTTTCACTTTTTTAGTGCAGCTCAAGCAAGTTTTCCTATTGACAGCAAGACAAAATGTGAATAATCCAAAATATGAAAATAATATGTATAACGAAAGTTATCTGCGGCCAATAATAATAAAAAATATTAATAATAAACGAAGATATACAAATCAAAAACGCAAGAGAGACAAGAGACAACAGACTTGCAATTGCACTCAAATTCCTGGCGGTCGAGGCGACTGACAAAACTGAGCAGCGGGCTGAGGGCAGCCGGCAGCGCGACGGCCGCCCCGGATACAAATACAATGCACTTGGCCAGTGGCCAGGCTAACGATGCAGCCAAAGCTCGAAGCTGGAGACGGAGCTGCAGCAGAGGCTGAAGCTGAGGCTGCGGCTGAAAGTACTAAACTTGTTTGAAAGTTGCAACTGTCGATGGAAGCAACTGCAACAAGAGCAGGAGCTTGAAGAGGGAGTGCGAGCAAGTGAAAGAAAGAGAGCGGGAAGGGGCGGAAGAGTATGCAGGAGTAGGAGGACGTAAAGGAGAAGGTGGCAAGCATTTGCAATATTTTCGGCTAAACTTGAAATTGATGTAAAAGAGAATAAAGGTACAAAATTACAGCGGCGAAATAAGCTGAAACTCAAAACTCAAAAGAAGTTGTGAGAAATAAGCAAAATATAAATACAAATAAGACTATAAACAATAAAATAAAATAATATTACTAAATAATAAATAAATTAAATAAGTATTTTAAAATATACAAAAAATATGTAAAAAAAAAAAAATAAATATGTATTCATAAAAACTAGAAACGTACATATTGTATATATTTTTTACATATAAGTATTATTATTTTTATATATTTCTAATTTTTATTATAAGTGTACATATCTTAACTTATTTATACACTTTTGTTTACTTTTTCTATAACTATCAAAGTAAATGAAATTTAATCGGAATTCTCTCGGTTCAAAGTTCACAGCGCAGCCACCCCCTGCTTCGCCTCTTCTCTACTCTTCTCTTTCACACAAAGCGAAAGTGTGCGCGCTCAGCTCTCGCTGAGATTATGAATTCGCCGCCATTTCGATTGTCTTTTCGATTAGCCCAAAAAGGCCTACAAAATAAACGTAAACTAAAAGCGAATGCAAATGTCTATGCTGCAGGACATAAAACAAACGAAATTTCACATTGAATGCAGCGCGCCGCAAATAAACATCATCAGCATCAGCAGCAACACAAACAACAACAACAGGCGCAGCAGAGCAGCAGCAGCAACAGCAGGGAGTCGCGTGCAGCAAACATTTGAAGATGCCCCGCACTCTGGACAGGGCCATAAAACTGGCTGAGCCTCAAGCCTCCAACCATGCCCATGCCCAACATGCCAGGCAACATTAGAAAACTGCAACAGCAACAGCAGCAGCCGCAGAGGCAAAGGCAGCGGCAGCGGAGGCAGCAACAATAACAAAATGTAGTAACAGAGCAGCGAATGAAGCAAATGAACGAACAGCGTCGCAGCCAGCTTCTGCGTCGCCGTCGACGCTGACGTCGAGTGTATGCATCAAAAAACAGACAGTAAATCTGATTGTTTGGGGTAATTGAACTTTCTTAAGAAATTGCGACATGTACACTTTGAAAAGCTCTGGATTTGCGAGCAGCAGCGTCAGCTGAGACAGCGCAGCAGCAGCAGCAAGCAAAGGCAGCACCACCAGCCGCAGCCGCAGCAGCAGCAGCAGCAGCACACAAATGTACGCCAATGACCGAGTTCGGGTGAAAGACCTTCGATAACCATCATCATCATCATTCGCAGAGCAGCAACGGCAACATCATTAGCGAGTCCGAGTCGTTCGCAGCGTAGTCATTGCACTAGCTGCCAGCCAGCAAAACAAAAACAAAGCAACACAGAGAGTGAGAGCAAGTGAGAGCACGCGCCAGTCAAGAGAGCTTCGCTTTTGATATAAGAGCAAAAGTTGCAAAGAGTTGCAGCAGCGCAATTTCATTGAACTAAATTTAGCATTGTGTGCGTGTGCTTAGCCAAAAGAGAAACAGCGCGAGCTGCAGCTTTCCATGCTCTCTCTCTTTCTCGCTCTGATATCACACAAACACAAATACAAACACTAAAACAAAAGCGCGGGAGTTGTTTTGCTCTTGTTGTACTGCTCTGACTTGCTATTGCTGTTGCATTTTTGCATGTGCATTTGATGTTAGTTTTTATTGTTATTGCATTTGCGATTTCGAGGTGCATGGCAAGACCTCAACTAAGGCTAAATTTGTTGTGTTGTTGTGACTGTTGTTGTTTAGTTGTAGTTGTGTTTGTTTGTGTATTAGTGTGCGTGTGTGCGATAATAGTGCGCTATAGGCGCTGCCGCATTTGGGGGCTATTGAGATAGGCGCGCGATTTGATCAATGCAGCTCAAACTATAAAAGCCTTGGGGCGGCATTAAGTGCGGCGCGTGTAGCAGTTTGACAGGCGTTACAGTGATACTCAAACGGTAGGCGGCAATTTACAGTTCTAATGCGACAGATGCTTCGAGTAAAAGTAAACGAATTTTTAAATTTTATTTCACATTAAATTTAAATCAATTTAATTAATTATTATTGTATGCATGTATATATGAACGCATCACATTAATTTTATATTTTATTTCTAGATTATTACAGAATAAAAATAACTGCTGGCGCATTCCATTCAGCATGAGGGAGACAGAGACAGATAGAGCGAGAGGACAGAATTTTGGGCATGAAGTTCGAGTGAACGTACTCGCACTCACAGTTGGCCGCGTCAATGCACGCTGACGCAGCCGCAGACGCCGCCGTCACCGTCGCAGCGCTAAAGCAATGACACTGATCCTGGCGTTGAACTCTGTCAATGCAGTGCCACGCTTCCGGCGGTGGTGAGAGCAGAGGAGCAGGCGAGACAGAAAGAGAGAGAGTGAGAGAGACAGAGACGGAGACAGGGACAGACACACAGCAAGAATAGCCACTACAAAAACAAAGCAGACATCAATTTCGGTTTCGTTTTCGCTGCTTTATTCTACGGTTAGTTAGCCTCCAGTTTGAGTTGTTGTTAATTATTATGCTCGAAGCTTTTTGGGCAAGGTCATTAAGCAGCGCCAACAGCGACAGCAACAACAAGCATTAATAAAATAAGAAGAGTAGAGCGAAAAACCCTGCTGCTGCTGCTGTGCTGATGCCGCGGCTGCTGTTGCCGCGGCTGTTGCTGCCGACTTCTGTTTGGCCTGCCCAGCGACTTCTACTCTACGTTTCTTTATGCTTTAGTTCGGTTCGTTCATACGGTCTTAATCAAGGTGAGTAACCTTGGCCTTATTTTCGAGCAGCGCACTCTTTGCTGTATGACTGTGTGCGTATATATGTGTCTGTGTGTGTACGCGCTCACGCATTGCCAAAAAAGCTAGCCACGGCGCTCACCAAAAGCGTCGCTCACGAAGGCACAGCCACAGCATGAGCAAGCGAGCGAGGTAGAGCGACAGAGGGCGAACGGCAACTGTTGCTGCTGGCATTGCGGAAGGTCATGATTTTTTCGGCTACTCACGCTGTATGAGCATGTGTGTGTGTGTGTTGGTGTTGGTGTGTGACTTGCTGGCATTTGCTGAAACCGAAACTGAACGTGAATTTGAATGTGAATGTGAATTTGATTTTCTGGCGTCTTTAGCCGCCGACTGCGGCGGCGACTGCGAATCAAGAACTACTGTTAAAGCTTTTTGTCGATATGCCGAATTAATTTATTTTCGACTAAATTTGCAGCAGTTAGCTAAGTTTATGCAGTTCATTTGATTTTTAACCTTCACTTACAGTTTAACCTGATCTACAAATTATTTGCCTTGCCAAATTCGTTGCTAAGTGTCATAACAAATAGTCGCCAAAAAGAGAAAAAGCAAAAAAAGCAAAACAGTATATTGCGCCTTAAGTCGTGTTTAAAGAACTTGTGTTATGTTTTATTTTCGATATGGGATTTTTTCTTTGCATGTGCTTTCACGCCTTCAGGTGCTGTGACTGGCAGTTGCAGCTAGAGAACTTTTACTCTTCAAGGAAATTTATTGGGAATTAATTTATGCAGGGCAATTTAGCAGCTGTTAATTTAATGCCGTTCATTTGATTTTGTCTTAAGCCTTGACATAGCTGCTACTGTTTACAGGGAATTTTTTTTATTTCGGACAATTTTATTAGTTTTTTATGCATTTTGTGAGTTTTAACTATCGAAGGTAAATGTTTGAATAATTGGGTGATATATACAGTAATAAGCTACTAAATTAATTTAACAGCAATTTTGCACTTTGGCAACTACTAATATTGGAAAATTTATAGGGAATTGGGTATTTTCAAAGCTGCCTGTTTTGAGCTGCTATGTAAACTATTAAAGCACGTGCTGGGCCACTTGTTGTCTTTTATAGGCCTAAATACATATTTATTTATGTGTGTATATATAAATATAATTATTCAGTTATATATCTGTGTGCATTTTCATGTGTGTGTCTAAAGCATGCATAATCAAGAGCCGAGAGCTTGAGACACGCCACGGTTTGCACTTGGCCTTGCCGAGCGCCGTTTCGTTGCTACCTTGAACCTCAATGTGCCGAATGTTGAGTTGAGTTGCCTGTGTTGTTGCTGTTGTTATTGTAGAGTGGGGGCAGCAGCTTCGAAAAATAAGAAGAAAAAACTAAAACCGAAACGATATCAAAATTGAAAAACGATTCGCAGTTTTACGTTGAGTTGGCAGTATGTGCTTTTCGTACGCTTCTTTTTTTCCTCTCATAATATTGTTGTTGGACGTGAACTTTTTAGCAGCAAACAAAATAAACACAGCATATGAGAGAACGTTGTAAATGGAAAAATTAACGGTCGCAGACCTACAACAAAACCAAAAACGTGACTCTCAGCGACTTTAACTTGATGCGTCTGCTATGACTTTTAATAACTTACCTACATATACACATACATATGAACATACATAAATATGTATAGTATATTATACATATACATTAATTTTAGAACTAGTTTTCGTATACATCTGCCTGAAGCTCTGAAGGCCGCTGGTTTCTAATACGCTTCTACACGCGTTGCGTATGTGTAATAATTTGTAAGGTTGCCCTTTATCAAGTATACGCACCGTTGTGTGCTTATCAATTTAGACAGGGTAACAAACAGCTGTGGCTATTTGACTGGGGAATTACCTCTCAAGTGGCATTACCTCTACAATTCGACTTCACTTCAGCTAAAATACATACATATGTATATCAAATCAAATATCATCTCAAACAATGCGAAACCCTGCAAATTCTGTTTCTCTTTCGATGTTTACGTATTTCAGAAGATCCGAAACGGGTTTTCATTTTGAAACAAAAGGGGAATTATCACTAATAGCCAATATCAATAAAAAATTCACAAAATCTGCACATGCGTAAATAACTATGCATATATCAATTCCATTTTGATATTTGACTTCATATGTATATAGTGAAAGGTCGCCTAACGAAAAGTTCCCCCTTCTGTTATTCAGCTTTGAGTTCGTTTCAATAATCTTCTGATGCTTTCTTAATAGTTCCCATTATTTCGATTTTCCCTAAACTTTTTTTCCTCTCATTTTGCTAACTGATTTCTATTTGTCTGGTATTTTCTTTTTTATCATTCAGTCAAGATCTATGGCATACAGTCATCTTAAACTAAAAATAGGAATGTTTCTAGTATCTTCCTTTTTGTCCTTCAATCAAGATCTATAGAAAACAAACTGAATTTTTCTATTTCTTCTGGTATTTTCCTTTTCGTCCCTCAGTCAATATAGCAAACAAATCTCTCGCAATTCGCTTTAGTAAGATTTCCCTGTATTTAGATGTATTTAGAAACGCACTTGTACTTGCACTTGCATTTGCTTCCAGCTTTCCAATTGCTGCACTAAATGCATCGCCGCCCTCCGTTCATACACAGACATAGCAAAAACAAAAACAACACTAACAACAAGCAATAATAATAAGAAAAGTATCGAATGCTCGCACAATTACAACTGCAAAAAGGTTTTGCACTATGCACTAACAGGCACTCACACACACATACACACACACTCAGGCACATGTGTATTTGTGTGCGTGTATGCACATGTGCATTTGCTGCCGACATCGGCGGCAACATGCGCTTAGTATATATTTTGAATGGTTGCGCTTTATATTGGCCTCCGAATGTGTCTAGCTTCAATAGCAGGCCAGGGTCATGCGACACCGGGGAGGAAAAACTGACGCGAACTGACGCGAGGCACACATACAGACGCAACGGTCTGTGTGTGTGCCCGTTATCGGAAGAAAACGCCAAAAGCTTTACAGCAGCGTGTTTGCGAACACACACACATACACACACACACACACACACACAGGCGCACACAAAGGCAACGCAAAATGCGCGCTCGCGTTCATTGCCTTTGCAAACGCTTAGATCGCGCTCGCTCTCTCTTATGCTAGAGCATTAGAAGAGCAGCGAAACCAAAACCGAAATCAACAGCCGCCATAGGCTAAAGCGCTAATTGATTAAAGAGAGGTCAGAGCGGGAGAGTGGGAGAGCAGCAGAGTTTAAGTTGAAACAGGACAAGCAGTCGACGCTTATCGGCTAGTGGCAATCGTAACAATCAAAACAAAACGGCGAATAAAGCTCTCACAGTGCCCTTTGCCAAGTCTCATTTCAATTTTTGATGGATTTTATTTGTTTTTTTTTTTCTACTTTTTTTCTGCTTGCGGAAGGCGGGAAAATAAATGTTCGCATCGATTGTGAGGTTGGTCAGTGTTTTTTTTCGCCAATTCCTTTTTCGTGGTGAATTCTTTGACATGAGTGTCGAATGTGATTGGGCTGCACACGAGTAGGGTAGGAATTTTAAGGGGAACTGGGTGAGGAAGGTTTGAGAATTAGATATGGTAGATTAGATGAGATATTCAATATAGATAGCAGATGCAATTTATGAAGCTTGATGTAAAGCGTAAATTAAATATTAATATAATAAATGTAATGCAAAAGTAAATAAAGAATATTAAAAAAAGTGAAAGCTGTAAATTTAATTATTTTAGTAGAACAAATAGCCTTAACAATTCATGGCCAGCGTGAGATAATAGTCAAGATTACAACAAATTCCTGACTGTTGCCTAGATAAAAAATACAGCTGCTATAAATATGCAAGATTGTTTGATCTGAGTCTCAGCTGCTTGATCGATAATCAAACCAATAACTTAATTAATTAGCTCTTTCTTTCTGTGTCGAAGGTCGCACCCATCATTTGCATAGCCAATATTTGTTGGCTAAAAACAAAACTTAATCGACATAAGCATAAATAATATAAGAAAAAAAAAAAAAAAAAAAACTAAAACTACTAAATAATTTGCGCTGTTGTTAGCAGTTTTTTTTTTATAGCGCTTCTTTTGTCTCGAATTTTAATTATTGGTAAATTGTAATATTCGAAGCCGAAAAAGTGGGACATTGCTCTTGCTGTGACTCCAAGACTAAAGCTGTAATTCGAGCAGTCGTAAAGAAGCATTCAAATTGAACAGTAGTCGAAAATAAAGAATTGGAAGAAGAAGCAGAATATAGTCCATATGTACGTTAACAGATTGCAAAATTTTTCGATATTCGACAAAAAAGCAATGAATCATCGTTAAAATAATGGCTAGAACTGAGTATTAACGAAATTACTTTCGTTTTTATGAAATAACCTCCATTTGAATTTCTTATTTTTAAATTTAAAATTTCCTCCCAACTTGTTTGCTAAATTTCCTTTCAATTAATTGCCTACATATGAGTGAGGGAGAGGGATATTTGTTAATAATATCCCAGGGTAATTCTCCTTCTTTTTCTTTATATTAGTTGACTCATTCCATTCACCGTTGCACTTTAATGTGCATATGTATGTAACTACACACATGCACACATACATATATCAATTAGCATTCGCTGATATTTTCCTGAACTTTCATGCACACACATATGTATACCCACAGATGCGATGACGAAATGTGAGCATAGAAAGCTTTTTTTTGCGTTTGTCTATTGCGATTTGCTTCCTGCATTTTTGCACTTGCTCACAAAAGCCTCCCCCAAATCTCCTACCCCTCTCCATCACTCCATCTCTCTTTCTCTCCTTCTCTATACCACTCTCTGTCTGCTACTCGACTTTAACACTAACAATTTATCGATAATGCAACTCTGTTTTCGATTAGTTGGGCAAATTCTAGAGCGTTGCACGCTGCGTATGCGCAATGTCTTCAATTCACTTACCATTTGCAATAGTAGTAATCCAATTTGGCGTATATCCATTATGTTTACCGTTGCTGCAGTTTGTAGTTTGATTAAAAACAGTTGCACTTTACTTCGCAGCAGAAAACGACTGCTGGGCAAATATTTGCATTGAAACGATTGTAAATATTGCGTATATTTTGTGTATGTAAAATCTACATTAACAACAACAACAACAAAGGCAAAAACACTTTTAGGCACTATGAGGGATCGCGGCCGCTGTTGTTGCTTGTTGGGTGGGTGGTTGGGTGGCGGGTGGGTCAAAATACAATTACACAAGACTTTTGCCAATTCTCAATTTGCTCGGCATTTTGGCAGTGAATGCAGCAGATACTAATGCTGATTCCGTATCAGAATCAGCGTCGACACACACACACGCACATACACACACGCGCGCGATTACGCACTATATGCGATAGATACAGATTTGTTGTTTCACTTATAAGGCATTTTGATGCACTTAATTACGAGGATTCGATTGTCCGCGGGGGAGTGGCAATTGTAATTACAATTGCGACTTTTTTAATTATACTTTGATTTTGCGTTTGATTTGATTTGTTTTGGGTAAGCGAAGGTTTTTCAAGATTTGTAGCTGTTGCTGCTGCTGCTGTGATCGACTGTGCTGTTCAGTTCGAAATTTTGCGACCGTCCGTTACAGCAGTCAGATGAAGACTAAACGCAAGCGAACGCGTTATTTTTGCACACAGCAGTGCAATGAGGCACACAAACAAGCACTGACACAAGCATGTGCACATGTATATGAAAACATTCACAGCGGCAGAGACACGCGCGCGGCCGCTCAAGTTCATGCTCTGAACTTCAAAGCTCAGTTACCTTCATGCACGTCGTTGTGCTGGTATTTGTGAGCACGCTCACTGAGCGTATGCGTGTGAGTGCGAGCGAGAGAGACAATCGGCAAAAGTGTGAGCTGTTTGGCTTTTTGCACTTAAGAGAGCGCGCGCCTATAGTAAATGAAATGCACTCTTAAGAGAGCGCTGAGAAAGGGCGAGTTGGTGTACAAATCCTTTTATTAGGCTTACTTTTAAAACATAACGAAAATGCATACAAAATATATATAAAGCATTGTGTAAATTAACTTTAACGATTTTTCGTTATTAATAACTGAAAATGGAAACGAGGTGTTTTATCTTCTTTCCTCTAAATTTTAATATGAACATATTTGTATAAGAAAACAGTTTTTATGTTGTCTTCAGGGACGTTGGAATCTTAGGCAGACCAAATTCATCCGTTTCAATGGTGCTCTGCAACGGAGAACAAAATTGCATTAGTATTAATGTTATTAAATTAGCTTTGTGACATTTTGCTACCTTGCCCGGTTTAATGCTATCGGCGCCTGGCTCTCTGTCTGGCGCTTCGGGAGCCTTGACAACATCATCCAAGTAACTGGAGTCATCATCCAATGCCATTTCATCGCCCAATGCATCGAGCTCTGCCTGCAGATCATCGTCATCCACGTCGGGCATTCCATAGGTGCGTCCCATGGCCTCTTGTACCTCGTCAGCCTGCTCCAGCATATCCGCCATATCGTCGTGCATGTCCTCGATTTGATCAATATTAATTTTCTTATACTCCGTCTTCATTTGCTTCACACCATCCTTCATGGCGGCCACTGTGGCTTGAGTATCCTTGAGGGATTGGGCGGCATAGTTGGCTTGTTCCATATTGAAGGATTGATTGCGCAGAGATTCAGCTTGTTGCTCATAGCTAATATAATCAAAAATATAAATGAGTAAATTAATGACCCAGCCATAGAGTTTATTACGCCTTACGCCTTCTTTTGTTTGAGCACACGCAGCGCTCTTTGTTTAACGGAGTTCTTGGCTGGGGATTCTCGCATTTTGCTCAGTTGTTCACGATATTTACGCAGCTCTGTCTCCAATTTCGCAATCTTTTCTTCAATGTTAGCTGCTCGAGCGTCCACCTATGAAAATTCTGATTAGGCTTTTTTCTATTCACATTTATAGATACACAGTTACTTACCCCACTAATACAGTCGGTTAGACTTGGGCCGGGCTCCTTGGGCTTTCCACGTCCAAAAAGTCGATTCATTTTGTGCTCTGCGTAAGCTTGCTTCTGTAAAAAGTTTAAACAATTTTGCGTTGAATTTTGTTTGATGACTAATTTTTCTTCTTCTTCCCCACGTAATATAAACAGCTGGGTATATACTATCGATACTTGTGTATCGAATGCAACAAATTATCGGTAGTTTGCGTCAGCCCTGGAAATTAGCAATTACAGGAATTAGTATATAATTTCTTATTTAATAATCTTGATTCGTTAGATTATTAAAATTATACTTATAGTTTACTGCGTACTTCCTGTATAAGTAACTATGATTAATAAAACCACCTGTTATTAGCATCAAATGAAACCACTTGTTATGTATTTATTTTCAAATAACGATTGGGTCTCGTTACCATCACTAGGTATACACAACAACTATCTGATAGAGATGTGCAATGTTGTTCAATTGAGAGCCAAAAGCAATTTAACTAACAAATAACATATTTAATATTCTATTCTGTATTTCATGGCGTTTCATTAATGAATAAATAGTCTTAAGCAAGCAAATGCATAACGAAACGATTTAGATGCACAACAGCGCTCAAATTAAAATGAACCACAAGAGCGCAAAGAGTTCATTGGTTCGCTCAGCGATGTGAATCGTTTGAGCGAACATACTGCGAGGCAATTTTACTATAAAAGCGGATTGCTGCAGCTTCCAGCATTATTTTCTGTAAGCGAAGTTTGTCGGTCGGAGAGCGGGAGAAGTGATAAATGCATTGAAAATGCGCGAAGTGCAGCACGACAGAAACGTTTAATTGATGTTAACCGCGTAAAAATGAAAGCTGCAAATTGTGCTAAATATCTTATATATACTAGATAAGCCCACAAGAACGCTGTGAATTGCGTTATAAAATAATTGTCTCATATGCTATATACATATGTGTGTTTGTGTTAGTGTTGTTAATTCAATTTTGTGAAAATTCAATATTTGCACAGCCACAGCCAGTGCCACAGAGGCGTCGCATAGCGTGTGGGTTCCATTGACGTCACAGCCGCTGCGTCAATTGGTTTCAAAGGGCTGCCACGCCTACCCAACCATGTTGAAAGCTGCTGTAAGCCAGTGAACGAATTTGCCAGCAGCATTATGGATAGCTCCATGTATTATAAAGCATTAAGGGACAACGCTGCAGAGGCAACAGAGGCTGCTTTGTTCAACAGCGACGTCGACAGCGGCAGCAGCACTGCTACGCCACACGTTGAGGATGGCGTCTCCATGGACAACTTCTATCCGGCTTTGGTGCAATGTTTTGGAATCATTATATGCGGGTAAGTCGGGCTAATACAATTGACCCACGCACATTTGACTGACATTTGCAAAACTTTTTGCACCTTGACCCTTGACTGACTGTTGCGTGGGCGCTTCCCACAACTTTAACAGTTAACTGTTGTTGTTGTTGCTATTGTTTTGTTGTACGTGTGAGTTTGTGCAGTTCGATATTGTGATCTCGTTAGTCACGCGCTCGTTCAATGACCGGTTCCGATTCATACAATAAATGCCAATTTTTAATTTCCTTGAACTAACATCAACAAGAGAGACATTAACAGTGTCATAGTCTATTGCTTTTACTGGTGAAATGATTGATTACTAGATAAAGTAGATTGCAATGATATTATTTATATTTGATATACCAATTTTATTATTGCTTTTATTGAATATAATAAATATGTATATACAAATATTTTGTTTATTAAAATACTCATACTAAAATTGTTGGCTATCCACAAAGAGCTTATTGCGTCCACTGTCAATTACTGTGTACTTCTTTTCTAGACAGTAAGCGTTAGATGAGTGCTCAAAAGCGTGTACTTTCTCTCTCTTTTATTATGCGCTCTTTATTAGATATGTGCCAAAAATGCTTGACCTTGCTCTTCTAAAGCTTTCTTGTAGTTTAAGAGAATCTTCAAGCTGATGGAACAAATTAGATTAGCTTGCTTGAGCATATATTTAATTCAATATACATAAATATTTAATTATAAATACATTCTTTATCATTATTAAAATTCATATTTTCTGTGGGTTTTTTTAAACGATTTATTCCGCATATTTTCCCCTTAGTCATGCGGGTCGTTGGCTTAAGGCGTGGGAATATTCCCTTTCCGTGCATAGTTAGCATACCAAAATGAATCAACGAATGGAATTGATTAATGTTTGCAGTGTAGATTTATATAAATATTTGTGTATTTTTAGTAGATGTTAATTCATTCATATTATTCAATCTATAATTATTTGCTACTTTTTTTTGTATTTAAATAAAACAATTAAATGTCACTAGAAAAGTGGGCCATAAATCGTTGCAAATTTTTGGACGCACAGAAGCGTGAAGCGTTTCCAATTGCCAATCGTGCTCCATTCAAATACAATCTTAGATATAGCCATATGCAAATAAACTACAATTAAAAATGTGCAACAACAACAACAACAACAATAGAAAAACTTTGATACTAGTTTAAATTTCGCGCTTTGCCAAAGGCAATTTCAAAATATTTGCGTTCAATTAGTAAATTACAATAAGCGAAAGTAAAACGTTTAGAGAGTGCGATAAATAAATCAACAATGTGTACGCCTATATAGATACATATATGCATATGTATGTGTGTGTGTGTGGATATATAGACAATTACAAATGACCTTGCAATACTCGCTGTAAGCAAAATTGATCAAAATCGATTGATGCAATCGTCTAACAATTATGCAATCGAAAATCGACTGACAATGCAATTACGTATTGGCGGGCTATATACCCTATACCTTGTACATGCATACATTTGCTTAAGCCATATGCATACGTATAGACCATACAGTGGTAACTGGATTGTAGAGAGGTTTTTAAATTGTCATGATACATTCCATCCCGAATTTATTCACAAGTTTAGCTGATGTGGATTCGAAAATAGATTTTTCTAGCTTATCTACAATAAATGTTTGTTGAACTTTTTAGTAGTTTGTCGATTTCCCCATATATATTTCTCTAGCCAGCTGTTTTGTTTACGATTTAAATATATATAGCTATGCATATATATATATATATA